AATCAAGTACTAGTGGAATTTTCTCTAAAAGCCCAATATTCAAGAAAATTGTGGACAAAAAGTAAGGAGATCTTTCTCCTCTTCCACTGCACTTCAGTAATCATTCAAAATACTGTAACCCACAAGCAACATCACAAGGCAAACAGATAACAGTTGGAAACTGCAAAACCCTTGCTAATTTCACAAATGCCTATGCTTGTTCATGTTTTCTTCCTGCCTCCAATCACTTTTGTGTGTGTTTAGACTGTAGATATGTTTGTAAGGACCATCTCACTTCTGATGCTTGTACAGTGGTGCCTCGCTTAACGAGCACACAGTTTAACGACGAATCCGCATAGTGACGTGGTTTTTGCGATCGCTAATGCGATCGCATTGCGATGTTTTAGATAGGGAAAACATCGCATTGGTGGTTTCAAAATGGCCGCCGGAAGAAAAAATGGCCACGCTCCGTTTTAGCACCCTGCCCTCGCTTACCGGGCAGCGAAAATGGCGGCTGGATGGAGGATTCCCCGCATAGCGGTGAGTTTTTCCCCAACAGGAACGCATTAAACAGAGTTTAACGTGTTCCTATGGGTTCCCCCCACCCTGCATAGCGACGTTAATCCTGGAACGGATTAACGTCGCTATGCGGGGCACCACTGTACACTGTTCTGAGAGACTCTGGAGATAAAGAATTGCATTAAAAATGCATTAAATAAATAAGAACTCAGCACAAGGACAATTTTCTCCATGTGTCAGCTGAAACTGGTAAGCCAAGTCAACATTTGCAAAACACCAATTATGTATTTATTTTGCAATTCTGCGGTTTTAATTGTTGCTCTCTCCTGTCAGTAAAGGTTCCCCTTGACAATTATTGACCAGTCATGTTCAACTCTAGGGTGCGATGCTCATCCCTTTTTCCAAGCCATAGAGCCAGCATTTGTCCGAAGACAATCTTCCGTGGCCACATGGCCAGTGCCACTTAGACACGGAATTCTGTTACCTTCCCACCGAGGTGGTCCCTATTTATCTACTCGCATTTGCATGCTTTCGAACAGCTAGGTTGGCAGGAGCTGGGACAAGTGGCGGGCGCTCATTACGTCACGTGGATTCGATCTTACAGCTGCAGATCTATAGACCTTACAGCACAGAGGCTTCTGCGGTTTAACCCACAGCGCCACCACTCTCCTGTCAAGTCAGAAGCAAATTACAGTGACCCTAATAAGGCCTTCTTCTTGGGAGGAAAGCGATGACATAAGGTTGTAGCATTGCCACTCCTCCAGTCCGTTTCCATGGCTGAGCGGGGATTTGAACCCAGGCCTCCTGAGTCCACACCACACAAGATTTTTAGTATCAGCTGTTAAATTGGCAATTTAGATGTAATTCTGTTTGGGAAAGTGAATTGTAATCCAAAAGACCTCACACTGAAATGAATCCAGCAACCATTTCAAAGGGTGACAGAACCCTTTCACTTATGTTTTTATTTTGTTTTTGTTATGTGCCATGAACTGTAACAGCTACTTTGTAGTATGTGGGAATATTTTAACTATCTGTTGTGTATTTTAGAAATTTACATTTCAGGTAAAAATGAAAACATGGCAGTAATGTTATAGCCATTAATAACATTTTAATCATTACTTTCAGTACTACATCTGTAGACATTCTTCAGTCTCGAGAGACTATGGTAACGTGCTTAGAATAGAGGTCTTGGCACAGCATCTAGTGTGGCTGAGAAGGCCAATTCGAGTGACAATCCCTTCCACACTGAAGATAAATATAATCTGTCCCGTGCAGCTACCTGATTTTGCTGCTTTCCGGAGGGCCCCTTTACCTTGGCCTGCTGAACAAGTGTCTCTTCAAATTGGGAGAGGCCATGCTGCACTGCCTGCCTCCTGGCTGAACGGTCAGATGTCAAGGTTTCCCATCTGTTGCCTTCAGATCCCGCTTGTAGATATCCTTGTATCTATCGCAGCTGTGGTCTGCCTCTGTGGCGCTTTCCCTGCACTAATTCTCCATGCAGGAGATCTTTTGGAATCTGACAGTCAGCCATTCTCACAACAGTACTACGAATAATGTCTGATTCGAATTCGTTGCTTAAAGTTAAAAGTTTTCAAGTTTTATGTACTTCAAAGATAATACTATTCAATGACCAACAAATTCTGTATTCAGTGGGTAACATTCCATAGTAAATGTGACATCAATAGAAGTATAAAGTATCTCAACAGGAAACAAATGACTAAAAAGTGTTGAAAAGCTTTTATTTTGTACAACTTTGAACCTCACAGGTGTTGCATGTACTGAATCTTGTTTGTATGAAATTCAACAGTAAAACTTTTAAACAGGAAATAAATACATGCCATGAGCAGCAGTTTTCCAAAATGAAATTAATTGCACTCTATGGCATTATTACTCAGTTTTACAAAGAGTACATGTATCTTCATCATTATCTTGGCAAATGTGTAGACTTCAAGATAGAAAAACTGCTCCATAATTTTACTGGTTAATGCATTATCTAAGGAGGTACATATAGTTTGGAGAACACTCACAAGTGTGACTTCCAAAACATCCAGCCTGTATGTAGCATAACAGAGACCAACAACTTAGCTATCTAAAAAGATATTTCAGTAGTATTTCAGGACACGTTCAAGCTAATAGTGCAATAAACCACCTACCATGATTTTTTTATGTGGACATGAATTCTGCTTAGACAATACATGTGCCGTCATACAAACTTAGATATTATATAGCATGCACATAAGGAAGAGTTCTTATCCAATGTACAGTACAAGGCTTGTTCTTGTTCATAACATGTATTGTAATTCCAATAAATGAAATCTAACCAGCCCTATTCCTGGAGATGACAGGAACTGAACTTCCACATAAAGTGCTTACACAATCACAGAATTGCAGACCTGAATGGGACTACAAGGGTCTTCAAGTTCAAACTTTCTTTCAAGCATGGAATCCACAGCTAAACCATCCAACTTTGCTTAGAAATGTCTAATAGAATCCACTACTTTCTAAGGTAAGCCATTCCACTGCCATGACGTTCTTTATAAAAGCTATCCAAAATTTCCTGTCTTTCATATGAATATGTTAATTTTCAACCTTTTTCTGGAGCTACTAGGAACCCAGCATCTCTTACAGTTGTCAAATATTTGTGATTTATAAGTTATTCACTTGTAATTTAAAATAGAATAAATTGCCCTGCCAATTTATCCAAGGCAGACAGATACCAGTGTATTTCAGCCTCTTTAATGGAATAAGTCTTTCCGTCTATAAATAATACTGATGTATTTTGAAGCAAAATTTGCATAGGCAAAGATACAAGATAAAACAAGCTGAGGTTCAAAATAAAGAATGCATTTGTTAAATCTACTCTGAAATAGAACCTAATTAAGTTCAAGTGCATTTACTTCCAAGTAAATGGGCATACTGGATAAGCTGGCTGGATAGCTCAGCGGTTTTGGTAGGCTGGCAGTTCCATTCCACACTGTACCTCCCAGGAGAAGAGCCAGCCTGTGTGGCCTTGGGTATGTTGCACAATCCCAGAAGGTGCCATGGTAAGCCGCTTCGGAGTACCTTCTACTTAAAAAAGCGTCGCTGTAAGTTAGAATTCACGTGGCAACACATCATCAATAATAATAATAATAATAATAATAATAGTAGTAGTAGTAGTAGTAGTAGTAGTAGTAGTATACAATTGCTGGTTAACTTCAACTCTTACTCCTGTTTGTTTCCAATGTTTCAAGCTAGTAGTTCTCCATCCCTTATTTTAAGCAGTGAAATTCTGAAGACACTAGAATGACACCGGAATTGACGGGTCCGATACCGGTATTTTTTAAAAAAACACCTACAGAAATACAAAGCCTTGTTTTGTGTTTTCCCCTTTAGAACTGGATCACAGGGGGGAGTGGGAAACGGGGGGGGGGGAGAAAGGACCGCGCGGCTGCTTTTTGCCTTGGTGGCCGCCGTTGATCGCCGAGGCTCGCCCCTCCCTCCCGATGCTTTCGGACCCCTTCTGGAGTTACGGGCTTTACTCCTGTGTAAGATCCACGCAACGCGAAAGATGTTTCGAGCTTTTCTGTTGAAGCTCCCGTGGGTCTTTAATTTAGCGCACATTTCTTTCCACGCTGTGCGCCGTGCTCAGCCTGCCCCGTTCCAAGCCTAGGGTTCCTCCGGCGAGGGAAGAGGGGATATTAAGGCCATCCTCCCCCCCTTTCCCTTTCCTGAATGAAATCCTGGAAAACTAAAAACTCCGTCGCAGGTTTTTAAAGGGCATCCTGCACTGAAACAGACACACCTACACACAAGAACACAAACGCCCAGCTTGCAGGGGAGAGAGAGGGAGGGAGGGAGGGAGGGAGAGACTTCATCATGGGGCGTGGGGAAGGGCGGCAGAAAAAGGGAGTCCACGGTGCATAACAAAGCCTCCGACCTCAGCCTGGGTGAATCACCACAAAGAAGGAGAGAGAGAGAAAGAGAGAGCCATGCCCTCGCCACCTCCAGCAGGGAGAGGGCTTGC